TGCCGATGTAAGTCTATGAGGGAAGACGCCAACGCAACTGCTTCCTTACACCGCCACTCAGCCAACTTTGACCACGGATCGCCACACCGAATCTGGCAGAACTCGTAGCACAGTGAGTCCAGCGAGCGCTCGCCCAACGTCGTCGAAGCCGTCCATCTTCAGCATCAGTTATCATCATCAGCAGTACCGGTACGTTTTTGAAGAATAAACCACCCACTTTACACCCACACCCACAATAGTAGTAGTATAAACCAACCCTCTCAAACAATAGTTGTCCTCAATAAAATGTATCCATCTTGAACCACAGTTGCATTTTTTCCATAACGTTAATCCGGTGACAGTATTCTGCACGTTTGGTCGCGTAGCCCCTCCGATTGCCCAGTAGTAAGCCGATCTTGAGACCCAGCTCGAGAGGTCTCTTGCTAAGGAGAACTTACCGGAAACAGACAGGAGAGTTACACTAGTTACAAATAAGTGGCAAATACCCTAAAACATGGATATTTTCGAAACGGAGACGACGTGTAGATGCCTAAAATTGAGGTCCAACGCCATTTTGAAATCCAATATGGTGGCCACCGGGTTTAAAAAAAAAAAATGGAAAATACCATACAATATGGGTCTTTTTGGTAAGGGGAATTGAAAAATAACACGTGTAAATAACGAATAATTGTATCCGACCCCATTTTGGGACCCAATATGGCGACCATTGGTTTCTGAAAAAGTGGCAATACCCTACAATATGGTTATTTTTGGAAGAGAACGACATGTAAATGCCAAAAAATGATGTCCGACACCATTTCAAAATCCAATATGGCGGCAATTGGGTTCAAAAAAGTGGTAAATACCATAAAATATGGGTATTTTCGGAACGGAGACGAGGTGTAGATGCCTAAAATAGGTTTCCAAAGCCTAGTTGGATTCTAGGATGGCGACCATATCGCATAATATTTTGCACTTTTTCTTAAACAGGTGGCCACCATCTTGCAGTCCAAAATGGCATCGAACATCGATTTTCGAACATCACGCGTTGTTCCTGTTCCGATAATACCCACACAGTTCGAAAAAGTAGTGTAAATTTCTGTCACTATGATGCACATAAATGGAGCGTCACATATCATACAAATTCACATTACAGATCGTGTAAATTTATGAGTCATTTAATGAAATATTCTAAATATTGTATGCAACCATTCATCTTTGTAAGCAAAATTTCTTGCAAGTTGCTAGTTTACGTGAAAAGGAAGTTTACATGCTTCAATTTTGGCATGCATGGATATTTACATCACCATTAAAATTCATTATTTTTTGGTGTGCATATTGTAGGGTATTTCACAGGTTTTTAAAAACCAATGACCGGCATCTTGGACTTCCATTGGACATAGATTTTCAGCCTCTACATGTCGTCTCTTATCCGAAAATATCCATATTGTAGGGTATTTGACTCTTTTTGAAAGCAATGGCTTCCATATTGGATTCCAAAATGGCGTCAAACATCGAATTTCGGCATCTAAACGTCAGTCCCGTTCCGAAAATACCGATATTGTAGGGTATTAGCCACTTTTTCTAAACCCAGTGACCACCAAATTGGTTTCCAAAATGGCGTTGAACATCAATTTTAAGCATCTACACGTCATCCACGTTCCAAAAATACCTATATTGTACAGTATTTACGCCTTATTGGATTCCAAATGAGCATCGGATATCAATTTCTGGCCTCTAGACCCCGATTACAAAAATACCCAAATTGTAGGGTATTTGACAGTATTTTCCACTTTTTATGAAACCGGGAGCCACCATCTTGGATTTCAAAATGGCGTCGGATATCAATTTTCAGGCTCTGGACATCACCCTGATACAAAACTTACTTGACAAAGAAATTAGAACTGTCCAGTGCAGCCTCTGTTCACTACCCAAGTCTGGAATAAATATAATGAAAATAAAAACAAACATACGTTCTTGAGAAAAATTCTAGACAGAGCTGGAATTAGGGCGTAACAGCCTTTGTAAACAATGACTTCTATCGATGATTTCTGGGAACTCAAGGCATGCCCACGCAGACCAACATAACTATCTGATAGTGGAAGTCTTTCCCTACCCGATGTTGATTTGCGTGGGCGAGCCTTGAATTTCTAGAAATCATCGATAGAAGTCATTGTTTACAAAAGCTGTTAGGCTCTAATTTCAGCTCTATCTAGAATTGTATACTGAACAAAGCTCTCCCTTGCACTATTTTTTCTCCTTTGTACTCTAATTGAAAACTTAAGTATTGTTCTAACACGGTCGAACGAATAATTGCTTGAAATCGCATTGCTTCTTTTGTATTGATGTATTGTAGGGTTTAAAATAAGTACCCTACAATACATCTATAACCTCAAACAAAAAGACTATATTTTGGATGCAAATTCAAATTTTATCCATTCTCATCAACTTTTGGAGCAAAAGAAGCAATGCGATTTCAAGCAATTACACATGCGACCCATGTGTAATTTTCAACTTTTTGATCAAAATTAATGTTGTATGCCACAATTCACCTACCGTATGCGTGATAATGTTTGCACCATCGTTAAGTTTCCCGTTTCACCTGTACATACAATGCCTTGGTTTCTTTGCATACACGTAACCTATAGCTCATACCGTAGTATGCTGTGTATAAAAGAAAATTATTTACTTAGTTTGACAGTTGCACCATGACGAAGTGGCAGCGTATTCGTGATTTGTCCCACGCGCAAATGTCGCAAAAAGGCATTTCAATCGCCGTGGGAGTGTCCCGGTGGACCGTCAAAAGGGTTTTAGACCGAGAAAAGAAAGGACAACTATCCGCGAAGGTGGCCACAGGTCGTCCGAGGTCAGCTCGGGTTCCGAGGGTTATCGCTGCTATCGAAAGGAAGATTCGGGTGAATCCAGTGCGTTCAATAAAGAAAATGGCAAAGGAACACGGGATCAGTGACTTTACGGCACGGAAGATCGTAAAGGAAGATTGCGGGGCGAAGTCGAGGGCACGGAAAAAAAAAACTCACATGATTACCAACCGCATCCGGGAGCTACGAGTCGAACGATGCAAAAAAAAATCTTGAACTTCCTTAAGCGAAAAAATCCGGTGATCCTGTTCACCGACGAGCATGTTTACCGTCGATCCCGTATCAAATTCCAGAACCGACCGGTATATTAGTTCTCTTCCGGTAAAAGACGTGGCCGACGAGCACAAGAACGTGTATCTGACCAAGCATCCTGCTAGCGTTATGGTGTTTGGATTGGTGGCTGCCGATGGCAAAAAATGGACCCAGTGTTCATGCCAGAAGGCGACAAGGTCAACACGGAGGTCTGCATCAGGATTTTAAGTAAGTATGTTCTTCCGTGGATCAAAGAACAGTACGGTCCGAAGCCAAATGTTGTATTTCAACAAGATTGGGCTCCGTGCCACACCTCCGTGGTTGCAGGAACATCTTCCGTTCTGGGCGAAGGATATGTGGCCGCCATCCAGTCAGGGTATTATATAACAGCGCAGAGAAACCAGTGAAAAGTATACGTTTCGCTTTCTCGCTCATTATTGAAGTGAATAAATTGAACTGCTTGTTGCTAAGATGATTTCGGTGGTTTTAAAATGATGAATGGGCTGCACGTAAGGAGACGTGGTAGATAATACTTCCGAATACCCTGCTAAATACACTTTGACTTAAATAACATTAGGGGGGCACCAAACGACGTATAATACCATTTGTCTCAAAAATCAGTATTTTTTAGCATAAAAGCTAGCGATCCATTTGTATGATTAAAACCCTGCTTTATATGTTAAACATTATGAAGAGCTTTGAGTGCGTTGGTTTAAGGAAATAAACCAACCCACTCAAATCTCTTCATAAAGGGATTCCGTTAAGAGGTTCGACAAATTTAATGGAATATTAAGGTGCTTCGCTGTGAGATCCATATTCTCGTAACCACTTCGAAACTTTGACTGCACAAATATCAGCTTCTACGATACGTACCACAATGAAACTGTTACTCCACGTTTGCTGTACTGCAGCATACATGAAGTAGCAATTTCAGGTTAAATGGAGTATTATTTTCCGATATGTGTGTAATTGAAAATTCGAAGTGGAAGTGCATGTATAGCCCACGTAGCGGCCATTTGTGGACTCTACAAGGAATCACCTTAAACATTGCTATCACTATGAGATTATATTTGTTTAATTGGAAATAGGAATAACTTTTCGGTCATCAAAACAAAACTTAATTTTTCAATTCTTATCTTTCGTCATTTTTAGGAACTTGCCATTTTAATCAAAATGAAAGCCTTTTTATAAGTGGAAGACATTATGGAGTAAAAGTGGCAATTTTGATGGTGGTAAGTATTACTCCACTAACGGAAGCCTTATTCGCTAGGTGAATTTTTCCCCCATGTTAAATTAGTTATAGATCGCTTAGGCGCGCATTATTGGAGAGATAACTGTACATTTTAAAGCAGATATGCTCCAATGAAAACGCTTCATACGTCCTCTTTCTATTCAACAAACACATTCACATCCTTTTCACTTCCAAAACCCACCGCAACGCATCTCTCAAGCGCCACATTCTCGGTCCTTGATCTCCACAGAAATCCAATCTGAGCCGTGTGAACGAAACCGCCAAGCTTCGCTCCACTCTTCTCGTTCGCTTTCAAAACGATCAACTTTCTCCCGTTTCCGACACTTGGCTCTCTCGTCCTGACCTTCGATCTCTCCCATCACAGGATGAACGAGTCTCGAAAATGTGTCCCGCTAGAATTCCTAATCCAATTTAGTGAAAATCCTTCCATTCGGCTGTGGAAAATTTTTGCACGCGAGAGCGAATTCCCGAACACTCCGCTGGTGTCTCTCAATCTCTCCCACTCATTCTCTCACTCTTGCGGAAAGCTCCCGTGAGCGAAGGAAAACAACGGTGGAAAATCCGGAGCTACTGGAAACGGCCATCGGTGGCGAAGAACATAATTTTCACCCGACCCAAGGATCAGTTTGGTGCCGACAATCATCGGAAGGGATGAAAGAATCGCGACGCGCTCGGTTTGCCAATTGTTGTCTGTGAATGGTACCTTGTGCCCTTATTGTTGTTGCTGGACTGTGTGTGGTGTGGCCAAGGAAACATAGGGAAAAAACTCCGATTCCAAACCGTGTGCCATTATATCTGATCAGTGGCCAGCGAAGCGCACTCGGCAAGAGGAAAATCGATATTTTCTTTTGCGCTTCCCTGTGTAGTTGCTATTCGGCATATTCGACTCTCTAAAGAGGTGATTAAAAGAAGGTGCGATTCCTTCTTCTTCCGCTGTGGCTGCACAGAGACGGAATGGGTCACCGGACAAAGCCACGGAGGCACTGAGGAACCGCGGGGCTGTGACCTTGGATTATGATTTGTGAAAAATTGTCGGAGGGTTTTTGGCTGAGCGTGTTTCTAAGTAAGAAAAATGTGCAAACTTTCGACCAGCAGAAAGTATCCTAGCTACTAGGATTAAATCCCTGTTCAGGAGGATATTACTTGTTTTCGGTTTGCCTACGGAAGGGATAATCCTTCCGGAGATTATGCACATAGGCGACTCAAGAAAAAAAATGAACAAACGTTCAGTGTGTTGAAGTGTTTATGAAGCAGATCCGCATTGTTACACCAAAGAAAGTGAAGTGACCCCTAATCAGATTTGCACTCACGACGGCATGAGTGTAACGTGCTTGAAATACTTATAATCTGTGTTCCTGGTTTGTGCCCTCACCGGTAAAAGTGCGATGTGGATGAATGCTAGAACCCAACAGAGGTTGTAAAATGCTAGACCTACTTTGGATTAAAACCTTAAGCTAAATGTTTTCGATGCGCATGTGGGGGTGATAAAGGAAGCAATCTCAGTAGGCAGGAACGTGACGTAAAACAACTCGCGTGACTAAGCGAAAACGAAATTGCGGAAAAAAGGAAAAACAGTTAAGTAGGCGGTGAAGGGAAGTCTCCTGCTTCTCCTCGTCCTCCTTCTCGTAGGGAGGGTAAGGCAGGTACGACGAAATGAAGCACATTAACTCCGGTCGTAGTCTGGGAATTCGAAGCGCTCGGTCAAGGTGTTCAACGTAGGTAAAAACAAGATTCACGAGAATTATACAACCACCCACATTCACAAGACTGAAACCGTTTGGACGACGACGCCCGGAACGGAAATGGAATTCATGCTAAGGAATATAATCATATCGCTTCTGATCTTCGTCTTCGGGCTGGCAAAAGGTGAGCAATATAGAAGGAAAAGGTGAAATGTTGTGCATTGGGACGCTCGGTCAGAGTGCCTGTGATTATGTAATTAGTGTGCTGTTAAGGAGTTGTATCAGATAAAGATAAGGGGCAGCAAAAAAAAAGAAGAAAGGAATGACGCCCAAGTTGGATTATGCTGACAGACAGCTAAGTGGAACTCCAAGAGGGCGGCTCAAGCATGTGATAATAAGCGATTGTTAACATGATCATTACGGGTGGGAATCCGATTAGCAGGCAGTCGAGCGATTTCTTGAAGAAAGTGTGTGCACCGCCGTCGACGCTTGACAATGGATTAGTTGGAAAAAGCTGCTCAAGCAAAATGTTTCAACGATGAGACGCTATTTTTAGTGTGCGACTAAGTTCACAGAATAACTACTTAGCTCCGGCACAGAGAGAAGAGGTTTATTTTTAAACGTACCGGAAATCTTAACACTGATTGCTATTTTAAACGGTAGTTGATAATAATGTTTGCTTGTTTTATTCTTGGTTTTTAGAAAGTGAGAACAGTAAAACTCATAAGAACTGTTTAAAAGAAGGCAAAATCATTAAAACATTAACTTTCGATTGCTTTCAAATGTGCTAAACTTGATTCTTCTAAATATAGAGGATACATAAAATTTCTTCTATTTGGGGAAAGCAAATCATCGAAGTCAAAACAAAAAATCGGTTTGAGAAAGATAAAAGATTAGCAAATAAATAATGGTGTACTAAGTAAAGGAACAACATCATTTTGGTCTATTTCGAAATTGAATAAACGGATTTGAAAACGGTATTTGACTCAAATGCATACTATTCCTTATATTTTAAGAAAAAAATAAGAAACAAATTATTCGTCGTGGTTTCGAAGCAGGTCTCGAACTTTTCCCTTACACAACCCATCAATAGGCGCACAACGACCTCGTCCACTGTTTTGGTGATTTTATCCCACACATTTTTTATCTGAGATGCCGTTTTGATAACTGTACTGCTTACCTTAAATTTCCGAGTAGTTTTCAATTGGTCTGAACTGTGGACAATTGGGTGGATTGAGGGTTTTTGGAACAAACTGAACTTCGTAGCCATTGTACCATTGTTGTACTTTCCGGCTGTAGTGACAACTCGCCAGATCCGGCCAAAATGTCACCGGAAAATCATGCTTCTGGAGACATTCGGTTTTGTAAACCTCCGAGTTTATCATTTTCTCAGTGACGAAAACCCTTGTCTTCTGACCGCAGCTGCAAATTTCCTGCCCGATATTTGCGTGCGAATTTATCAGCATAAACAAATTTTAATCTGACAGGGACACCTCCTCGAGCCTTCGCCTTGTAAAATGTTGGAAGCTGTCCGAAGTCAGCCTTTACATAGGTTTCATCGTCCATAAGTATGTAGTGTATACTATGCACCCACCGGACTTGGTCAGCAGGTTGTCATACAGCTTTCGAGCATGGGTTCTAGCTACGGTATTCTGCTTGAGTGATGGATTTGGTCGCAAACTGGCACTGTATTCCTGTAAGCCTTTGCAGCATTGTACTACGGACGGCCTCATACTTTTTACTCAAATCGCTATCGGACATACATGGGTCACTTCTGATGGACCTCACGACCTTCCATGGAGCTTTCCCTGTACGTTTTGAGCACGTGCCATAAGGTGTTTCTAGGAAAATTCTACACTTTAGCCAGGTTGGACGCAGACCACGATGGATTTTCCAGGTGACTGTGTCCGGTTATTTTTTTCCTACGCTCCTCTTGATGGCGATGGTGACTGTCTCCAAAACAAGAGCGTTTTATGAACTGCAAAATACACCGTTATTGTTATTTTTGTTATCAACAAATAGACGTCAAAAACTTCAACTAGGAGCGCTTTAATAAGCAAAAGAGAGTTTGATCCATTACTAAGAGGCAAGAAAGGCAAATAAGGTTAGCCCATATTAAACTTGCATGCAGTGATGCAAAATATAATGACACTCACGTGACACTCGTCTTGGCATCAACCGACTATCGCTGACAGATCGTTTTGTCACGCAGTGAGAGTTAGAGCCATGGCAAACAACAATCACCAGTAATGGTCGCTACTCAAAAGCAAAATGTTACACTCGCTGCCGATAATGTAAAGCACAACGAAAACAGTGAAGACTTCTGCAGTACGATTATGAGAAAAAGCGAAACGACAGAAGAAAATGAAAACAATGCCTACGCATTCCAAGTTCGTCTCGGCAGGCGCGAGTGTGTGAGTTACAAACAAAGCAGGCAACATTAAACGGAAGCTGTTGGGCTCACTCACCAACACACTCACATAAGCAAGCAAAGCAGCAACTGCTTCAAAACGAGCACAGATGAGTGTCGTGATTGTCAGGAATGACCAGATCGGTGATGGATCACAACAGAAGACGACATTCACCAGTTGCTTTTTACTTCTTTCATCAACTTGATGGATGGTCATGGAGAGAGCTTCGACGAGCACATTGATAGGAATGTACAAAGCGTTACTACCATCAGCTGTTTGATGATGGTGATTGTAATCGGTCACAACTCTGTTTGCATGTCATTTGGAATTGTAACATATTTGTACACTTTGATATTTACTTGGCTTAGAGTCAAGTTCTATAAATCCTTAAATATTTGATTCAAAACATGGAATAATTTTCTTGAGAAAATCTTGGTCAAAGAACACTATTAGCATGGAGGTAACTCTAAGGCCCGAAGGTTCCGAAGAAATGTGCTCAAGTTTTTGGCTCAGTTTTGGTACTATCTTCGGTCCCAAGCTAATCGATGCACCCCTTTAGTTTAGTGCATGTCGTATTACTCCATCACTATTGAGAAATGATGAAGTATTCGGTTTTGATACAGTTGTCATTCTGGCCTTCATCGCAAGGGAACGATTCTATTTTAAAAGTTCCCGCTATTTATATCCTTCGGAGTTGGAACACCCTCCAAAAGCGCGCAATTGTGTCAGTCAAAATTGGATTCCTTAACAACAAAATTAAGAAATGACACCGATAATTACCATGCATCAGAACCCTAGCCTTAACCACTTCAAACTAGGGAACAACGATTAGAAGATTAGGAATCACATAGGTGAAGACTAATTAACTCATTTTTTCCTTGTTTCAAGATCATCCTCAGTCCAGGCAGGCAACCCGAGGACTTATTACTATCAACAAGCTATAAAAAGTAACAAGGACTAAGATGTGTTCCTTTGATTACTAAAAAATACTGTTCCCGTAGTTTAAAGAAGTCAGGACTAGGAATCGGTGGTAGATCTTACATCCCGTAACGTACCACGAAAAGGTGATCTACCACCAGTGAGCCAATTTTAAATCATTAGTTTCCACCGGTTGCTATCAGTCTCTAAATAAAAAATCATCACGGAGATGAACCAGCCTGCGGCTGAAAATCTCCTAAATAGAGATAATAATAATAAAAAATCATCAAGATCATCATTATTCAATGGCGCAGCCTTGAGCTAAATAACGTATTGTTTTTTTAAAACTAAGTGCGGGTCAACTTTTACACTTTTTTATAAGTAAAAAATGTGAATCATTTTGAGCAATTTATCGGTTTATACTATGAAAAATTTGTTTGTTAAGGATCCACCGAAGATATTTGTTTTGTAATTGTCTCAAAATTAAAGAAGAGGATCACTTTTTCGTTATTTTGGAATGCTGATTTTTTATATTAAGTTCAATGTAGCAAAAAAAAAAAGCTGTTTTGCGATTTAATCTGAAAGGAAAAGAGGTTGAATAGTCATAGAAAAAGCCATCAGAAAACTATCTTTGTTGGGAAGTTTCCCCTACATACTTTATCGAATCAATTTTAGTGCTACAACCACGGCAAATCTTAAGGGGAAGTTTACCGGCCCGAAAATAAAAATTAAGTTTTGGCACGTTTTTATTTTTCTAAAAATATTGGGAAAAATTATCAAAAATCCAAGAAAATCAGTTTCTTTCTAAGATTCTTGACAAAAATTACATGTAGTCATATTTTTTTCTATCACACCATGAAAAAATTGGACTCTCAGCAAAACAGAAAAGTCGATGTTTTATGGTTTTTTGAGTCCGACTTTATGCCATGATGACTTAAAAAATTTTTTTTTTACTGGAATTTTGTTTAGAAAGTTAGAAAAACTGTGATTTTCTTAAAAAAATCAAAACGTAATTATTTTTTCAGAGCGATAAACTTCCCCTTGAGGCTTAACTTTCAGAGAACCAATTATGCACAGAAAGAACCTATTAGAGCAATGGGTGTTGTATGTAATCAAGTTTTTAAGCTGTTCGACTTTATTGTTAGTAATAATGTTTTTACTGAGCGACTACGATCGATGTTATAGAATTAAGGATTTTTAAGTGTATTGGTTAGTTCATGTAGACCGTTTTTGTCCGTTGCTTTAATATTTTCATTTTACTAAAGAGATATTTTTATTTAGCTCAAAAGCAGAGTATGAATTCTCTCAACTATCCGCAATTTATTCGGACTTTATTCAGGAGTTTCTTCTAACTAAGTCCAGAGGTTTATTCTGACTTCCATTGGAAAGATTCATCAGATATCACCAGAAGTTTTATTTTTAACTTCTTTCGGAAGATTCTTCCAACTTAGCCTATTTTTTTCCTTCTGTAGTCCCCTACATTTGTCTTAAGCCCTGGAATTCCAGCAACTTTCTTCCATCTTTCCGTGGAAGCTTGTTCCAGCGAATTGGGAATTTTATTATCGGCTTCCTCTGAAAGGTTCTACTGACTTCTCCTAGAAGTTCCCTAAAGGAGTGCTCTGACATCATCTGGAAGTTTTTTTATCTAGATTTGATCAGAAAATTTCTTATGACTGACACCGGGCAATTCATACGCTTTCTCCTGGATTCTTCTTCCTAATTCTCTTAAAATTCCGGCTGATTTGGCCCAGAAGTGTACGCTGACTTGCTCTGGAAGTTTCTCTAAAGTTTCTTCCAACTTACACAGGAGGAAATTTCTTATGACTTTTCCTGTGTATTTTTGGAGAAATTATCG